GTGAGAGGGAGAAGCGGTGTTTACTAGGTCCGGGACGCGATCCCTGGTTGTTGCGTTTGCTGCACGGCCAAGGAGACGCCTGTAGCAGAACACTGCGGGGGTTGACACGTTTTGCATTAAAAACAGATTGACAGATTCAGTGGCTATTTGTAAATTGGGCGTGAGTCCATCTGGTATGGCTAACTATCGTGCCCTTCCTCCAGGAGCTCAGACTAGTGAGCCAGTTTGGTGTAGTGGTTAAGTGCACGGACTCTAATCTGGGAGAACCGGGTTCGATTCCCCACTCCTCCACTTGCACCTGCTGGATGACCTTGGGCAAGCTATAGTTCTGACAAGAGCTGTTCTTGAAAAAGAGCTGTTTCTGTCAGAGCTCTCTCAGCCCCGCCGACCTCACAGGGTGTCTGTTGCGGGGAGGGGAAGGGAAAGGAGTTCGTAAGCCCCTCTGAGACTCCTTTGGGTAGTGATGGGCGGGGTATAAATCCAATCTCCTCCTCCTCTTCTTCTTCTAGTGCACCACTGGGCAATGCTCCCTCTAAGCTATGGAGTCTTGTGAGCAAAAGTTCTACTTTGTGAGCTCCTGCCATTAAAGTTGTGAGCGAGCGATTTGGCTACTGCATAAATCAGTTTGCTCTTCTGGAGCCCTCCTTCCTGAGCTAAGGCAAAAAAGTGTGAGGCAGAGGCTAAAAACCTGTGAGCTGGCTCACACTAACTCAGCTTAGAGGAAACACTGCCACTGGGTTGGTTTTATTCTCTTTCAGTCCTCTTTCCCAGTGTGTATATATTTTAAACTATCCCTCTTCTTGTTGGAGTGTCTCAGCATGCCTGGCCATTGGGGGGCGCTACATCACATTAAGGGTGTATGGGTGTTATCTCCTTGAATGGGATGGCTCTCTTTGTCTTAAACTGGGAGCTGCCCTCTGAGCCCCCCCTTCTCCCTTCTCCCTTTGTCTTTTCCCTCTCTCTACATGGCCTTCCATGGAGAGACACGTGTCTCTGCAGATCTCTCCTGTAGAGAGAATGCCTTCATACTCTCACACACACGCTGCTGGGTTAGCTGGCCATTTGTGATAGGGAAATGAGTTGTTTTCCGTTGCCCCAGAAGGTCGGGCCAGAACCAACAGGTTGAAATTAAAGTAGAAGAGTTTTCAGCGAAACATGAGGAAGAACTTCCTGAGAGTTAGAGTGGTTCCTCAGTGGAACAGGCTTCCTTGGGAGGCGGTGGGCTCTCCTCCTTTGGAGGTTTTCAGACAGAGGCCAGATGGCCACCTGACAGCAATGCTGACTCTGTGAACTCAGGCAGATCACGGGAGGGAGGGCAGGAAGGGTTGCCTCAGTGCTGAGTTCTCGTGGACTTTTCTTACACGCCCAGGGAAATGCTGATCGCCACGTTGGGATAAGGAAGAAATTTTTCTCCAGGCCAGTTTGGTTTGAGATCCTGGAAGTTTTTTGTCATCTTCTAGGTGTGGAACAGCGGTCACTTGGGGTGTGGGGGGGTATTTGTGAATTCCCTGCCTTGCGCAGGGAGTTGGACTGGATGACCCCGGAGGTCCCTTCCGACGCTATGCTTCTATGACTCTTTTTTTCTCTTCCTTTTGACTGCAACCTGAATGTAAACTGGATTTACTTGAAGAAATGTACGGTTACCATTTTTTGCAATATACTTCTTGGGAGATTTATTTCCTGTACTCAGGATCACGCTTCTGTGACTGGGCAAAACTCTGCTATATTAACCAAATGTCCCAATACTTCTCCCCTGCCAGCCTCCGGGAGGGACCTGGGGACCCCCCGGAATTCCAGTTCATCTCCAGACTACAGAGATCAGTTCCCCTGGAGAAAACGGCAGCTCTGGAAGGGGGGGGGGCTCTCTGGTATCATATCCCTATGGGGTCCTTGCCAGTTTGGTGTAGTGGTTAGCAGCATGGAATCTAATCTGGGAGAACAGGGTTTGATTCCTCACTTCTCCACATGCAGCCGCTGGTGTGACCTTGGGTCAGTTACAAGTTATTTCAGAGCTGTTCTCTCAAGGGCAGTCCTCGAGAGAGCTCTCTCAGCCCCGCCTACCTCACAGGTTGCCTGTTGTGGGGAGGGGAAGGAGATTGTGAGCCGCTCTGAGACTCCTTCGGGTAGTGAAGGGCTGGGTATAAATCCAATCTCCTCCTCCTCTCCTCCTCCTCCTCCTTCTTCTTATTTTGTGGTTGTGCCCACCACCCTGTATCGAAGGTGACCACAGTTTCAAAAACGTTGTAATCCCCACCCCCACCCCCGCATCTGTGAGCAGACCTGGTGGAACGTGTTGTGGTCAAACAGAAGGAAACGGGCTGAAAAACAAGTTGTGTGTATATTTTCATTTTTTTTTTATTTTTCTTTCCTTTTCTCCTGGCCTGTTTGTTTTCTTACAAAACCAGCCGAGCTTCTTATTAAACCCCACGTGCCCAACTGCGTTAAAAAACGAGTCCCTGGCTGCACATTCTTTTTCAGTGGCACAAATTGTGTCCAGCCGCAAAGGAGCATAAAAGGTGGTGAAACTTGATATGTGTACCTTGTTTTGTTTACTTTGCTCTACACATAATGTTGCAGACTGCGAGCTCTTGGAAATCCTGCCAAGTCATCCTTTCCCTTCCAAGATTTTTGTCAAGTACCCTCCACTCTGGCCTTCTCAACCAGGCCTGGGAACTTGCTGTTTTTTTAATTGATAGATTCTCAGGAGGTTAATCTGGCCACCCAGTCCTTAATTCCCCATTTTTCCCTTGTCTTAGAGAAACTGTTGAATGCATTCAGCCAGTGATAACATCTACTACACTTTTATACTCTCTTTCAGTCGCATTAGGAGGAGGAGGAGGAGATTGGATTTATACCCTGCCCTTCACTACCCGAAGGAGTCTCAGGGTGTCTTATAACCTCCTCCCCCCCCCACAACAGACACCCTGTGAGGTAGGTGGGGCTGACAGGGCTCTTTCGAGAACTGTTCATGAGAGAACAGCTCCGAGAGAACTTGTGACTGACCCAAGGTCACCCCAGCAGCTGCATGTGGAGGAGTGGGGGGATCAAACCCGGTTCTGAGTCCGCGCACCTAACCACTGCACCAAACTGGCTCTCTATTGCTACTTTCTTTAAATAAATAAATGCTTCAGCCTTAGAAATGCAAGACATCCTCTGAGCATGCACAGAGTGCTTCCCCCTCTTGTCTGGGTCATCGGAGCCAGCACAGACACCTGTGGGTTTAAGACAGGGTCCCCATTCTGGGTGCCCACCAAGCATTTTCCGGAAGTGACTGGAGCTTTTGCCCAGCAGGGTTGCTGACTGCGGCGGCCCTCTAGTGGCTGGCCCTGCCTCCTGCAGCGGCCATTTTGCGACAGCCATTTTCCCTTGTCTTAGAGGGAATGTTTAGCCTGGGAAAGAGAAGGCTTAGAGGGGACACGATTGCAGTCTTCGAACATCTGAAGGGCTGTCGTGTAGAAGATGGAGCAGATCTATTCTCTTTTGCTCCGGATTGCAAGACGAGATCAAATGAGTGGAAATTACAAGGGAGTTGTTACCAGCTAAATATCAGGAGAAACTCCCTAACTGTAAGGGTGGTTGAGCAGTGGAACGGACTGCCTCGGGAGGTGGTGGGTGCTCCTTCGCTGGGCATCTTCAAGTGGAGGCTGGACGACCATCTTTCGGGTATGTTGTAGGCAGTGTTCCCTTTAAGCTGTGAGCAAAAATTCTATTTTGTGAGCTACTGGCATTAAAGTTGTGAGCGGGCAATTTGGCTACAGCATAAATTAACTTGCTCTGGAGCCCTCCTTCCTGAGCTAGGACAAAAATGTGTGAGCTGGAGGCTAAAAAACTGTGAGCTAGCTCACACTAACTCGGCTTAGAGGGAACACTTGTAGGTATGTAGGGCTGTCTTTCGGCTCTGCTCCTGCAGAGTGCAGGGGGTTGGACTAGATGACCTGCAAGGTCCCTTCCAACTCTAACATTCTATGATTCTATGAAGCCAATCAGAGGTGCAATTCTTGTGCGCCAAAAGTAACACCTACAGGTTCCCAGGGAGGCGAGAGCGCAAAGCATCAAGGTCAGGCAATGCGAGAAAAATGAAAGCAGCATTCCAGAACAATAAGACGCTCACTCCACAGACTCCCTTCCCCCTCCGCAGACCATGGCAGCATAGCCGACACTAGTCTATTTATTATTTTCAAATTTGTATCCCGCCTTGCCAGGCAAACTGGCTCAAGTCCGGGTTGGAGTCCGGAGCAAACTAATTTACGCCGTCGCCAAATCGCTCGCTCACAAGTTTAATGCCAGCAGCTCACAAAGTAGAATCTTTTTTCACAAGACTCCACAGCTTAGAGGGAGCGTTGGTTGGGTTCTGCCTTTTCTTTTGTTTTGGGGTTGTTATTTTTTTTTGTATTTTTCCTGTGTTTGTGTGTGCACACCTGTGAGTGTGTGTGCATCTGGAATTCGTGGCGACCTCTGGGGACTGACCCCTACTGGGGGCCTGGAGGCTTTTCAGAGAGGTTGCTGGATAAAGCCTGCCCCCGCCCCTCGACCGCTGGTATTCCAAGGAGGTCTCCCGTCCGAGTACTCGCCAAAGTCGACCCTGCTCAGCTTCCGAGATCTGACGAGATCGGGCTTGCCTGGACTATCCAGGTCGGGGCAGGATCTGCCTTTTTTAAACAAATGAAACCCCAGAATCAAAGTTTCTTCTTAATTCATCCCTCTTTTTTGTGACACAGTTTTAGCTCTGCGTGTCTCTGTTTCCCTACCCAGGTGCCTGTCAGTTGATCTCTCTGAAAAGAAACCAGGGGCCTGCTAGGAAACCTTCCCTCTCTAGGTTTTGTCTTCTTTTTCCTTCCTCCTCCTTCTTCTTTTTTTTTTTTTTTGCAAAGGGGTGTTACACTTTTGACCGTTGCTGCCGCTTCAGTGATCTTTACGCCCGGCCTTTGAGCTCCAAGCTGTGCCGAATCCACTTTGCTGTCTACAGTTTGGTGTTGTGGTTACCTGCGCGGACTCTAATC